TAATTCATTAAAATTAACTTTAAAACCTCGACAATTCCATTGTATAAAAGTAGGATGAATCATTTTATTTATTATGAGAAATGGGGGATATTCTCCCTTTATTTTTATTGGGTGAAACACTTCGGACTCGCGAGGAAGAATGGCTTGGTGTTATGTCCATCTCCTCGAAGACCCCAAATTTATTGTGGAGAGTGATGGCCCCTTTGGACAACCGATCACTTGACTGTTTTGGGGTATTTTTTGAGGGAGATTTGTTACGTCTCCCTGGTGATGTTGATTTACCTGCAGCTGCTGGCTTTAATGTAGTCGTAGCTACAGATTTTGGTGCAGCCGCAACTGCAGGACCTGCAGAGGCAGGTTTTGAAGTAGATTTACCTTTGTGATTAGATGACAAAGGTTCTTTACATGATGAGGTCTGCTGAAGAAAGTCTTTCTCAGAGACTGTGTAGAAGTGTCCTTTAAAGAGGACGATTTTAAAACAGTTGCGTACGTCAAGTTCGGTCTCGGAACACTGTACATGTTGACCAATTTTTTGGCTTCAGGGTAAGGTATTCTTTTTTCGACTTTAACTTTTTGTATTTCTTTCTCCTTTTTCCACACTGGGCATTGTTTGGAGGAAGACATGTGTCCACCCTTACAGTTTTTGCACTTGGGGTCTTTTGGACAGCCTTTACCATCATGCCCCTCCTCACCACACCTGAAGCATGCTTCGGAGCCTTTACAATTGGACTGTCCATGTCCAAATCGCTGACATTTGAAACAACGCAGCGGATTTGGAACGAACATTTCAACTTTCATTCGATAAAGCCCAACTTTAATACCAAAAGTCAAAAGGTATGTATTTGTCGGTTCTACGTTATCATTCCGCTTTTTAGTAAACCGTTTCACAGAGACCACTCCCTGAGACTCCAATTCAGATTGGATTTCCTGTTCAGGAATGTCATCCAGGTCGTGATCCCTGTTGAAAAGAATACCTTTGCTTTGGTTTAATCCACTGTGAATTTTACCAATAACAGGAATATCGGCAAGCATTTTTAAACTTAAAAAGGAAGTTGACTGTTGTTTTTTGGTGACTTCAATAAGAAGAGCACCAGATTTCAACTTTTTAACAGATTTGGGAGTACCGATGATTCCTTGTATGACAAATGGCGATACCTTTGTTAAAGGCTTCGTATGTTGGTCTGTAATTTGTGCTTCAAGTGTGATGAAGCAGGGCCAGTTCTCAACGACCGAATTCAGTTGCTCATCGTTAAAAGTAATATCGAAACCTGCTGGGTAACAACGTTTTTTTGAGAGAGCCATGATTAGATGAAGAAAGATTCAGAATCCTTGCTCCCCGCCCGCCTCGGAGCGCCAACAAGGGCGATATCTAGTCAAACGGACATCCAGTAAGACTGATACCAAGAGGATACAAAGAAACTATACTCAGACACGATATGCCTGATTGACCCTCAGCCACCGCTTAATATATAAATAACAACATGGAAACGTCGGCGTATTGGAAATTGCAAAACAAAGGTAAACAGACAATAAAAATTAATTGCGAAACATCAATACTAGAGCATGTAGATATTATCAGCTCGGCATGACTAGCCGATTGATCAAGTCGGGCCAAACTTGACCTCCCGTCTAGATGAATATGGGGCCAAAGTGGAGAGTTGGTCTATCAAGTGCATTACACCCAGCACCTGCAGACCTCAGCCACCAGGATCCCCTTCTCCACCAACACGGGTCGCAACCCACGGCTAACAGGTTGCCCCATTTAGTCGCCTCATACGACGTGCAAAGGGGTGCCAGGGACCTATTCTTATCACCCCGGGTCCCCACGGGGGCCAATTACTTTTGAAGAGTTGCAAAAATCTTTAGATAAGTCTCACGACACAGCTGTAGGACCGGATCATATCCACTATCAAATAATTAAGCATCTTCCTAGTGATAGTAAAGAATGTCTTCTGCAAAAATTTAATACTATCTGGGAACGAGGGCATAATCCACCTTCCTGGACTCAAGCCACAATTATTCCTATTCACAATCCTGGAAAGAACCATGCAAACCCTAATAATTATCGACCAATTGCGTTAACAAGCTGCTTATGTAAAACCATGGAACAGATGATCAATGAACGATTTATATGGTTTCTTGAAAACAATAACATTCTTACAAATATACAATGTGGTTTTAGAAAAAACCTAAGAACTATGGACCAGTTAGAAAGACTGGAAACCTATATTAGAAATGTTTTTGTTAAAAAAGAGCATGCTGTTTTTATATTTTTTGACTTAGAAAAAGCGTACGAAACTACATGGAAATATGGTATTTTAAAAGATCTTTACAATATTCTCTCAAAAGAAATTTATCTAATTTTAATAAGAACTTTTTTAAATGATAGAACTTTTAAAGTGCGATTAGGAACTACAGTTTCAGACAATTTTGAACAGGAAATGGGTGTACCACAAGGAAGTATTCTTTCAGTCACATTATTCAGCCTAAAAATAAATAGTTTGGCTGAAGTACTTAAATGATTTGCATGGTAGTTTATATGTTGATGACTTTGTTCTGTGTTATAAGTCCAAAATATGAACTTTATCGAGCGGTGTTACAATCATGTCTAAACAGAATTCAAAATTGGGCCGATAGAAATGGTTTTAAATTTTCAATGAGTAAAACCGCGTGTGTACATTTTTGTTTAAAACGGAAAACCATGATGATCCAAATTTGCAATTAAATGGAAATCCAAAAAATGTAGTTAAAGAAATAAAGTTTTTAGGTGTCATCTTTGATAATAAACTCTCTTTTATTCCACACATAAAGATGCTCAAGGAAAAATGCTTAAAGGCACTAGATATTATTAAAGTTATAGCAAACACAAAATGGGGAGCTGATAAAAGTACTCTACTTAAACTCTATCGCTCTTTAGTAAGATCGAAATAAGACTATGGGTGTATTGTGTATGGATCAGCTAGGACTTTCTATATAAAAGCTCTTGACGCAAACCATCATCAAGGTCTTAGATTGTGCTTGGGGGCTTTTCGAACTTCTCCAAAAAATAGTTTATATGTAGAGGCAAATGAACCACCTCTAGACTTACGAAGAGTTAAACTTGCTTTACAATACATAATTAAATTAAAAGCAAACACCGATAATCTTGCTCATGACTGTGTCTTTCATCCAATAAAAACGCACATTTATATAATAAAAACAAGAAATGCATAAAACCACTTGTTTTCGATTTAAAAATCATATTAGAGATTCTAAACTACCATTGGATATTGTAAAACCTACTACTCTTTCTGAAATACCACCATGGAAATTACTTAAGCCAGTAGTTAATAAATCCTTATCCGAACTAAAGAAATCAGAAACAAACCCTCTCATAATTCAACAGAAATGAGCTGAAATAAAATCTAAATATCCTACAAGAGAAATTTACACAGATGGTTCTAAGGACAGAGGCAGGGTTGCTGCCGCTGCAGTGGTCAAAAATGATGTTTTTTCTACACGACTTCCGAACGAAGCAACAATTCTTACGGCCGAAGCAAAAGCTATACAACTATGACTTATAGTGAAAAATCGTTTACAATATTTTAAGGCTCGCTCTCATGCTTAGAGTCCATACACAATATGAACACAGATCACCCATACATTTTGGATATATTAACTAAGTTCTATCATCTGACTCAACAAGGTAAAAAAAATGAATTTTGTTCGATTTCGAGTCATATTGGTATTCCGGGTAATAACAAGGCCGATAGTTCTGCAGAGACTGCTCTTCAATATGATATTGTTTCTTTTAGAACTCCTTACACAGATCTAAAATATTTAGTAAAACTTTATGTAAATTCTCTTTGGCAGATATTTTGGGATATTTGTGAAAATAATAAATTGTATGCAATACAAAACAAAGTTAATCAATCATCTGATTTTGGCCTGAAACGTCAGGACGAAGTCATTATTTCAAGAGTACGAATTCGACATTTACCCATTCATATCTTCTAGACAAAGAAAATCAACCTGAATGTGTATCTTGCGATTGTGCAACAACTATATATCATATTCTTTTGAAATATTCTGAATTCTCGCCTATACGAAAGAGATTTTTTAATAATGTGCAAACAGTGCATGATGTTTTTACAAACGTTAATCCTTGTACAATTGTAAAACATGATTTAATGTACATATTTTTATTAGTGTTTTTTGTAATTTTCAATTTAACTGTTATTTATTTTTAAATTTCATGTCCGTCAAATTGCACGTTAAATGTCAAGGACTGCAACCCCCTTGGCACGCTAAAGGTCGTTTCTCTGGTTTTCGAAAAAGAGTAGGCTCATTGGGGGCCACCAGAGAAACCCCAAAACTGTCAAAATCGTTCCTAGAATATTGAAATTCATACCGCCGAAATATGGCCGAATTATTGCATATTCGGCGTAAAACAATAATAATCAATTAAGGCCTCTTCATTTATACCCGGCTATGTCTAAATTATCTTTGTCAAATAAATGTGTTTTAATAGATACAATATGCATTGAAACTGGTCCTTAGAATCAGTCCTTTCCTTTCGACATGGAAGGTTTGGAACACCATAATCATATCTTATCTCCTCTTCTGCTTTTATGTTGCAAATAGTGTCCAGTGACGCTTCCATTATATGGCATGGCCGTAGGAACCGGAGGGGGGGGGGGCACGGTGGGCTATAGAAAACATAACTACTACATGCTTGTGCCCCCTCAATAAAAACGGCTTATGGCTTTTTTTTTTTTTTTTTTTTTTTTTTTGCTTGTCAACGGTTTTTGGTAGTTGATAGTGCCCCTTCAACTGAAAATGTGTGGCTGTGCTGACATTTCATCACGAGCTTCTGCTGCGCAGCATCATTTACATATCTACCATGCTGTGGTGTGTGGCATATCTACCATGCTGTTATGGATGTGTGGCTTATCTACCATGCTGTGGTGTGTGGCATATCTACCATGCTGTTATGGATGTGTGGCTTATCTACCATGCTGTTATGGATGTGTGGCATATCTACCATGCTGTAATAAGTGCGTGGCATATCTACCATGCTGTAATGAGTGTGTGTCATATCTACCATGCTGTAATGAGTGTGTGGCATATCTACCATGCTGTAATGAGTGTGTGGCATATCTACCATGCTGTAATGAGTGTGTGGCATATCTACCATGCTGTAATGAGTGTGTGGCATATCTACCATGCTGTAATGAGTGCGTGGCATATCTACCATGCTGTAATGAGTGTGTGGCATATCTACCATGCAGTAATGAGTTTATGGCATATCTACCATACTGTAATGAGTGTGTGGCATATCTACCATACTGTAATGGGTGTGTGGCATATCTACCATACTGTAATGAGTGCGTGGCATATCTACCATGCTGTAATGAGTGTGTGGCATATCTATCATGCAGTAATGAGTGCGTGGCATATCTACCATACTGTAATGAGTGCGTGGCATATCTACCATGCTGTAATGGGTGTGTGGCATATCTACCATGCTGTAATGGGTGTGTGGCATATCTACCATACTGTAATGAGTGTGTGGCATATCTTCCATACTGTAATGAATACTTGGCATATCTATCGTACTGAAATGAGTGTGTGGCATATCTACCATGCTGTGGTGTGTGGCATATCTAACATGCTGTTATGGATGTGTGGCTTATCTACCATGCTGTGGTGTGTGGCATATCTACCATGCAGTACCGAGTGCGTTGCATATCTACCATGCTGTAATGAGTGTGTGGCATATCTATCATGCTGTGGTGTGTATGTGGTATATCTGCCATTCTTTGGTGAGTTTTGCGTCTAAGCAGAATGTTTTATTTTTTATTTTTTTTTAAATATTAAATATTTATAAATGAATAAATATTAATTCATTTACTTTAAAATGTAAATAAAGTTTCTATTGATTTTAATTCATTCGTTATCAATAGATTATATATGCATTAAATGACTTTCATTTTACCAAAAATGAACAAAACTCTTTTGTTACTAATTCTAAGCAAAAATTGAGATATTCCCCTTTAAATATGACGCTAAAATTCAATACTGAGGAAGTCATGTGGCAGTGCCTATTCGTGTGTTATTGATAAAGTCAATTAATGTAAATACGTAACTTTTTAACTAATTATAAACATATAAATTAAAAGTTTCTTTTCAATTTCTTGAATTATATTTTTAAACAAATTTCCACAAAATAAAAGACTAAAACAAAGAAAATAGGCATCTAATTGATTTTGTTTCTGCAGTTGATGGTGTTTATAATGTTACTCCAGAAGCTGAGTAGGCAAACTTGATGTCGATGTTGTAAGAGCAGATGAAGATGCATAAGCAGTCGGTCTAATGAAACTTCCTGCTCTAGGAGCGGATTTCATGAAATCACTTTCCTCGCCTTTCTCTTCTATGTTCGCTTCAGTTTCCAGGTCTCGAGATTCTCTTTTTCAGTTCAATAGTCATTTCTGTGTTAACAAAAGCACTTTTATTTTCTGTAATTTCACATTTTAAAGACAACTGCTTGTTTCCTTTCTAGTTTTGCGTGATCTTTTGTATACTTTTATGGAAGCCTTCAGGGCCTGGGCCTTTGCTCACCTCTTGGTTGCGATCGATGACAGACTTTGGCTTGAAGATTTTGAGGATCGTGAGGCGTGCGACACATTTTCTTGAAACTAGATCTTGCATGTTTAGGATCAGTTTCTTCAACGTTCAGTATTCTGTAGCCCCTTAATGTCATGTTAAAATGTTTCATTTCCTGATTACTGTGCTCAGAATGATGTCTTTAAGAATTTTTAGTCGGTTGTGCACTGTGACTCTATATTAAGTTACACGTTTTGTTGTCACCATGTAAATTTATTAGTTCTTCTACTGATGTTTCTTTCACACTCTTTAATCTCAAGTACACTCAAACGTTTCGCATTTTGTTTAGGCAAAAAGAACTTCATGGATGTTTAAACTGTTAAAAACATTTTCTGTCATTGCAATTTTTCGGTGTATTCTTAATTCTAAGTGATGATCTGTCAAATTTACAGCCTCTTCAGTTTTCAACTGTTTTCAGATTTTCAGATTTTAAGGAATCGGATCCTGGATCTTATTGATCACCCACTCATTGTGATCTGTGAGATGTCATGTCAAGGTGATGAAGGCATTCACAGTAGGACAGTTGTAGGCTTTGTACTGTACTGTTCCAAAGACAGCAGTATTACCTATATTGTATTGTATTTTACTGTAGTAATTAATTGATAAAATGCTGAAAAGTACAAAATAAAATTACAAGAAAATGTTGTGAAGTAATATACATCAAATACCTTTTCACTTAAGACAATAACTGTGTTCCTTACTTTTTTCTTAGATCAAGCATAAGTGGATTATAACCTAAGATTGAAATCTTTCTTTCTCAAATTATTCAACATTAAATAAATTGCTAACTCATCAATTTTTTTAAGCTCACATTTCAGACAAATGTACTTATAATTAAACGCAGGTAAAAGTTTGCTACAGCAACCACCTGCTTACAGGCATAAAAATGATAATACATCTTAATTTTCAGAAATTATGTATTAAATGATTCAAAGCATTACATTAAAAATACTACACACAACTTATCTAAACATATAGACAGTTGACGGTAGCTCAATCGGTAGAGCGCTCGCTCCGTGATCGGGAGGTCTTGAGTTCGAATCTCGACCACGACTGACCTATGTCGATTTTATTATTTGTATTATTTGGTACACAGTATAAATGATCTGAAGGCAGAATTGCTGCGTGCTTGGTTTGATGTGCCATTATTTTATATCCAACGACTATATTCAAGCCTCCCACGCCGATGCAGGCAGGTGTTGGTCCAAAAAGTAGATATTACAAAGTATTAAACATTTACCATATCATAGAAGAAGTGAGTGTTCATTTAAAGTTTTGTTTGTATCAAAGAAAACATTGGCGGCCATTAAAAAAGTTGACTCATTTATGGCACTATGCTGTATTCTCTCTATCTCTCTCCTTGATTATGTACGGCAGTATAATTAAAATACCTAGTCGCTTAAATACCTTACTTCAATTACAATAACTTAAGTAATTAAAATCTGTAGTCACTCAAAACATCTGTAAAATACCTTTCAACAACTGTACACTGCTTTGGATTCTCATGAGATACTTCCCTTAACAGATGCCGTACATCTCTCTATATAGATCAAGCACCCGTATGTAAACATGCGTAACTAGGTCATAGCAATACCCAAATAAAACTGGTATAATTTAAATGGAAATACCGATACAGGCCCGTAGCAACAGTTTCAACATTCAACAGGGGGCTACTTCCGAAATAATCTGACAAGTCAAAAAAAGAAAGAAAAACCTAAATTGACCAAAAGTGGGGGATGGCAACTTTCCAAAATTATCTGACAACTGACAAGCAAGAAAAGATTATTTTATTGTCCGAATGCTCGACCTTAAAACATCAAAAAGTGGGAGGAGGGTGGATTCAAAGAAAAATTTACTACAATTTACTAGCAAAATAGTATACTAAAAAAAGTGGGGAAGGGGGTCCTGCCCCCCCCCCCCCCATACCCGCGTTCTACGGGCCTGAGATACGATGATATTTCTTTAAAATACATGACATTGTAACTGAAATCAGTACTGAGTCTAAGTACAGGATAATTATAGATTTTTCATACAAATAATGTCGAAATCGGGGTCGGGATTGCAATATAAAAACGTGATTTCCCAGTAAAGTCAAAACACACGTCTTCAAAGAATGTGTTATTGTTTGCTCGTTTGTCGTTTAACGTCCGTCTTTTCAATGTCTTCTTTGTAGCTGCATGTCAGAATTTTTCCCACACAGCCTCTAATTGATTGATTGTATGTTGTTTTACGTCCCATTCGAGAATTTTTCACTCATATAGAGACGTCACCATATACCGGTGAAGCTTCAAATTTTGACCTTTACTCGGCACTCAGGGCCATTGAGCAGTGAGGGATCTTTATCGTGCCAACGCCTGCCGTGACACGGGGCCTCGGTTTTTAAGGTCTCATCCGAAGGACCCGCAACTTTCACTTCAAAGTGCCGAGCGCATGGCGATGAAACAGTTGCTACCCATTTTTTATCGACTTAGGTCAGTCGCGGCCGAGATTCGAACTCGCGACCTCCCGATCACGAAGCGAGCGCTCTACCGACTGAGCTACCGTGAACGGTCAGCCTTTAATTGAAATTATAAATAATTTGGTAAACTTCAAAGAAACCAAAACAAATGTTTGTACAGACTCCAAGATATATATCATATTAAGACAATAACTGATATTACAAGTGCATCTTCACCTATTAACCTTGATATCTTTATCAAAAACATATTCGTGTATATAGTAGAATAAGACAACTTGAGAGAAAGATGTTTAATACCCTGTTACTCATTATTATGCCTGAATGAATTTTAGACCTGAGAACTCTATTTTTTAATTCCTTTCTCGCTCCAATTTAATGGCGTTGCTAAGGTTGCCGCCTTCAAAAAGGATGGTAATCTCCGATCACATGTTTGAATATTGTTGCCCCCAATGCATATCGGTTTTACATGTTCAAAATCCCAATATGTGGCATTTAGTTTTCCATTTGAAGTTTGCATTAATATTTTAATTATTTACAAATTACAAAAAAAACATAGGTAATCAGAGATTACAGAGCTCACCTCAACGAATGTTGTCTTTAAGTAAGGCAAAGTTCCACAATAAACTAATAATCTAGGAGTGTGCATCCCTAGATGCAACATTTATGCAGTTTTGGTCTGATAGGGCTTGCAGTTACTTGGGAATAGACTTATCCAAAAACTTAAAACTAGTCACTCATCCAGAAAATGTAAGTCAAATCCAGCATCCGAAGCAAGTTTTGAGGTTGTTCGTCCCTTGATGCACCATCCATGCAAGTTTGGTTTAGATAGGCCATATAGCTACTTGGAAATGAGATCTGCTCCAAAAACTTTAACCTGGTTACTCATTCGGAAAATGTAGGTCAGATCCAGCATCCGAAGCAAGTCCAGTAGTGTTAATCCTTAGATGTATCATCCGTGCAAGTTTGGTCAATAAAGGGTTTACAGTTACTTGGAAATGACATCTGCTCCAAAAACTTTAACCTGATCACTCATCCGGAAAATATAGGTCAGATCCAACATTCGAAGCAAGTCCAGTAGTGTGCATCCTTAGATGTATCATCCATGCAAGTTTGGTCAATATAGGGCTTATAGATACTTGGAAATGACATCTGCTCCAAAAACTTTAACCTGGTCACTCATCCGGAAAATATAGGTCAGATCCAGCATCCGAAGCAAGTCCAGTAGTGTGCATCATTAGATGTATCACGCATGGAAGTTTGGTCAATATAGGGCTTATAGTTACTTGGAAATGACATCTGCTCCAAAAACCTTAACCTGGTCACTCATCCGGAAAATGTAGGTCAGATCCAGCATCCGAAGCAAGTTCAGTAGTGTGCATCCTTAGATGTTACTTGGAAATGAGACCTGCTCCAAAAAATTTAACCTGCTCCAAATACTTTAACCTGCTCCAAAAACAGTAACCTGTTAATTCTTTAGCTGAAATTGCAGCATCTGAAACCTTGACTGGTACAATGAAACACTCT